TTTATTATAACGAATTCTCCCACCAAGAGGTAGTTTCAATACACATAATTAGTGAAGGTAGTTTCGAGAAGTCAATACATATTTATTATAAATAACTAATTTATTAATTGAATTTCTTAATTTCTTCAAAATAAGTTATCTAACTCTTATATTAAGGACACAAGGTAGTGTTAAGTGAAAATTAAGCATTTTTTTGTTAGCCAAGAGAACTGAAAACTTAAACTCTTTATGAATGGAGTGAGTGTGTAGCAAAACTAATAAAGTTAAAAAAAAAAACGGAACAACAACAAGAAGTTAACTTGGTTTGTTATATGTAAGAATCGTATTAGGTTTAGTAAGATTTCATAAAATAAACACTACAAAAAAACAGCGAATTAGCGACGGAAACAAATTCCGTCGCAAATTAGCGATGGAATTTGCGACGGAAATTCCGTCGCTAATTTTTTTGACAGATTAGCAATGGAATTTCTGTCCGTCGCTAAATTCCGTCGCTAATCCGTATTTAGCGACGGAATTAGCGACGAAATCTTTTTCTGTCAGACAATTCCGTCGCTAATCTGTCAAAAAAATTAGCGGCGGAATTTCCGTCGCTAATTTGCGACGGAATTTGTTTCCATTGCAAATTCCATCACAAAGTTTAAGAAAATAAATTACATAGGATATATATACAAGTAGGAAAATACTGTTTATCATAATCTATTTAAATCATTTAATTTTTATATAAAATAATTTATTAGATTTTATTATAGTAGTTATTTTTTGAATAACAAGATTTTTTGACTAATTGTAAATGATTTTCTTCAAATATATAAACCACATATACATATATAATATAATGTAATATAATATATATATATAATTAAATTGTATATCTTATCAATGTTAATTAAAAATATTTTTAAAAAATAAAAAATTATAAAAATAGTAAAACAAATATTTAAAAATTATTTTTTCATTAAAATAGTTATTATTGAAATTATCATATAGTATATTTTTAGTTTTTAATAATATATATGTATATATAATTGTTTGTGTAAAATAATATAATATATATATTTAATTTTACATAATAAGTCAATAGTTTCATTGCAGCTCAACTGATAAAGCCGCATATGCGCACGGAGGAGGTCCTGGGTTCAAGCAATGGAGAAGTCACTTTGAGAAGGGAATTATGTGGTGGTGACACATGGCGCACACGTGGCAGGCAGAGGTGAGGTGGCAGGCACACGTGGCAGTAGATGTGAGGTGGCAGCGACACGTGGAGGTGGTCTCAGTGATGACGTGGCAATTGGTAGAGGTGCCACGTGGCATTTTATTTTATTTTTTAAAAAATCGAGTTAGCGACGGAAAAATTCCGTCGCTAATTAATTAGTGACAGAGGAATTAGTGACGGAAAAAATTCCGTCGCTAATTCCGTCACAAATCCGTTCCGTCGCTAATTCCGTCGCTAAATGCAAAATTCCGTCGTTAAATTCCGTCGCTAAAACCATGTTTTTTGTAGTGAAAAAACAAGAAAGATATATATAGATGGAGGTATGTGGTTTAAATTTGCATATTATATACTCGTGATATTTATTAATAACAACTAAATATGACATGTAGTACGTAGCTTAATTATTTTTCTGATTTGATTGTGTTATGGTGATGATTGGCGGCGGCAACTCATTCTGCAGGCTGTTTAGACCTCAATGCCTCGAAGACGGTTTCGATCATTGCAAATTTGGTCCGTTCCAGATGACCCTGATTCGGGTTCTAATGTTTTTCTTAGGATTGGTCATGGTCACTACAAAAAAAAAAGACTTTAGGTGACGACTTTCGGCGGTGACAAAAAAAAATCGCCGCTGAAAGTCACTTTCAGCGGTGACACCAAAAAGTCACAGCTAAAACTAAGACTTTCAGCGACGACTTTTCTTGTCGCCGCTAAAAGTTCACGACTGAAACTAAGACTTTCAGTGGCAACAAAAGTGTGCGCTGCTGAAAGTGGACTTTCAGCGACAACTTTTCTAGTCGCCGCTAAAAGTTTACAGCTGAAACTAAGACTTTTAGCAGCGACAAAAGTGTCGCCGTTGAAAGTTTGCTACTGAAACTAAGACTTTCAGTGGAGACAAAAGTGTCGCCGCTAAAAGTGGACTTTCAACGGTGACTTTTTTTGTCGCCGCTAAAAGTAACACCTAACAAGAATTGGCATTACCAACGCCACGTCATCACCGACAGCAGCCACGTCATCGTCGCCGGCCATCACATCATCACGGCTAGCCGCCACGTCATCGTCATTGACTGTCACATCATCACTATCCACCTCCACGTCATTACCACATCACTCCTCCCCGCCACGTCATCGTCCAAATATTTTCGCCGCTAAAAGTTTTCAGCTACGGCTGCTACGGCAATGACTTTTTCACCGCTGAAAATCAATTTTTTTTAGTAGGTGGTGGTCCTGTTCCGGTCCGACCTGGCCCAAAAAGTTTGTGAAACAGGATCAAAGCAAACCGAGACGAAAAGAGAGACCCGTCACAGTGTGTGTGTGTATTTTTTCAAATTTTGTTGTTTTGTTTGTACTTTTCTTCCATCTAGAGTTGTCACTTTGATTGTTTTTCCTGTGAGAGCCTCTAAAAGGGAACCCTATGAGTGGTTATCAAGTCATTTTCTTGCCTCTTGAAAATGAGATGAGGCCTCTCTTAGCTTCCACCAAAATATAATAACAAGTTCAGCTGCAGCAGATTTTCTTCGCACTTGGTTCCCTTTCCCTGGAAAAAGTGGTTATTGTGTCCTTCTTCCAACTAGGCTTGCAATATCTATCTTCAGTATTTCATCAACAATCTTCATTCTTCTGCAAATATATTTGTAATCAAAAGTGGCTTTGGAGAGTAGAAAAATTTCACAGCTTCGCTTCCCGATGAGTCGATCAAGTTAATCCCAAAGATATTGGCATGCAAAAAGAACAGAAAATTCTCTAAAGCAATAAAATGCAATTGTAACTTGATGAAATATATAGGGTGTTTTCCATCTTGTGTATTGGGCCTATAAGGCAAAGCCGATGGCCCGTTTACTTTGCTTGCTGTATGACTTGGGAAACTTAGGGAGCTTGCTGTGTATAGTCTATAAATAGTGGACCGGTTAAGTGTGAAAGTGTACATTGATTTTCCGTTTTCATGATTAATAGAAAATGAACAGTTCTTCTGGGCCCACTCTCTTTGTCAACATAACTGAAATAATAAGACCGTAAAACTTCTCTAATAGTCCATGATGGTTTTTAGTAAGAAAACGGATAAGAGTTATCATGATGTTTAGTTCTCAGAACGTAGTAGTAGTAATTGTACAAGTCTAATAACTTAACAAATGCTTGATGTGACTGGAACTGCTACGAGACAAGTGCCTTCTTCCCTTGTTCATTTAAGGAAGAAGCCACTGCAATATTATATTGTCTCCCATGCATCTCCACTGTTAAATCATTGAGACAATTAGATTTAAGCTGCTGCAACATTAGTGAAACTGGTTAATTCTTGATGATCTTGGTTGTTCATCATCGTCGTGTCATGGGTGGATTAAAATCCGGCGAGAAATAACTTTCTGAACCTACCTGTTGGATGCGGTGATCTTCTGCTGCTACAATATCTTGATTTGAATTATTGTACACGGCTTCAGTCATCGACGATGCTTCTAACATGTTTAGCGCTGTTAGAAACAAAACAAAATACTACCTCCAGTCCTTAATATAAGACTCTGTTTGACTTTTATTTTGGTCTTAAATATAAGACCCCAATCCATTTTATCTCTCATATTTATACATTTTTTTTCAAGGTAGTCCTTCTAATAATTGTAGTTCTAACCAATATAGTTTATTAGTAAGGATATTTTAGGAAAGACAACACCTATTTATTACAAATAACTAAACTTACTTTTTTCCTTAATCTCCTCAAATTAGTCAACTGGGTTTTATAATTAGGACTGGAGATAATGTGTATATTTATATATATTGGGTAAAAAGCCAATATCTTGACCTTATTTTTCAGTGCACTCAACATCCTGAATTTTTTAGTAGTGCAATTTTACTCATGATTTATTAAATTTGGTATAATCCCTATTTTTCAGTTTTTTGATATGTCTATAATTCGATTATTTTGTGTAAAATTGATTAATAATTTGATAAAAGGAACTAAAATTGTTAGTTAATTTTATAAAAGAAAAATTGTGATACTTGGAAAACACTCTGTTGCTGCAAATTTATGATATTCTCACCACTGATGTAAACAAGTATGAGTTATTTAAGGCTCTTCCTATGCGATTAAGAAAAAGTTGGATTTTAATGGAAATTCAAACCCTTTTGCGACAAAAATCATTGTGCTTGCTTAGAAAATTAGCATTGTAATGTGTTTGTCTCAATTATTAAAAGAAGTTTGTGTTTATTTGTTGCTAGTTGCACGTATAATCACGGTCATATTCATATTTTTCAAATGAACATTTAGTTCCTTTTGTTTTGTGATAAATTTTTTAAATAAACAAAATTTATGAAACTGGTATTATCTCTGAGCATTAGTTCATCATGTGCTTTGAATGTAACAAGTTTTTATTTATTCAAGCTACTATTATTACTAAAATAAATCATTTTTTAATATTTATCATCAGTCCAAACAAAAAGGGACGAATTAATAAAATTGGGAAAATAATTTCATATTCCAATTCTTTTATTCTTTACATGATCCAAGTTCCAAACGTGCAAAAACAAAATTATATCGCGCAATTTAAAATTCCATTTATCTAATTAGGGAGTTATTATTTATTGCTTGTATTCGTCAGCAGTCAGCTTATTACTTGGCGCGAAGATAAAATTAATTTGAAACGGATCGGAAATACCCATCGGGTTTCTGGCCAGATACCCATCGGGTTTGGGCAGTGATGATTGATGAACACGGCACACGCCGTAACGACCGCCATAATGGAAATGGCAGTACTGACAGTGACTAGCCTCGCTCATTAGATCTCATACACACACCTTCATAGCCGACATAGATTCAGCAGAGTCTGCGCATTTGCATTTGCAAACCCTAGCTGAATTAGGCATTCTCTGCTTCTCATGATCAGGTGCCTCCATATCCTTTGTCCGGGTCTCTGTCCCAGTGATCCTACTAAATGTGTTATTTTGATTGGTGATCACTTTGTGCTGCTCTGTTTTCAGGTTGTAGATTGGGTTTCCAAGGTAGTTGAAAATGCAGCAAGTTACAATGACGGTTGATGAACAGTTGATTGAGAAAGCTATTAGAGAAGAATGTCCTTGGGAGAGCCTTCCAAAGCGAGTTCAGGCAATTCATTCCACTAAAGAAGAGTGGCACAATAGGTTAGATTAGCTTTCGTGTTCTACTTTTTGCTTAAACAGCTGTTTCAATATTCGGGTCTCTTATATAGTGGCATTTTAGAGATTATGTTCATGAAACTCTTGCTAACAATCTTTCATTTCAAGCTGTTTGCAAAAATTGAATTTTGATATACGAAACATAAGAAAACTTCAGTTGTCGTTTGTTATGTTTTTATTTTTTAGCAAGCCAGCAGTGCCCGATTTGTCTTGACATGGATTGGACGCTACCACGATACACATGACACATGTTCTAAACAAAGATGCCATTATGACAATAAAATTTATTTATTTTTCTGGATACATCTTGCACGTGAATCAAACAGAGTCGGCCCAAAAAAAGAGGGGAAACAATAGAATGAGAGACTAGAAGCACTTTTATCTTGATGAGATGACAAAAGTTTCTCACTAATATTTTTATTGAACATGACTAAGCTGAATAGTAATTCTATAGTTTTTTTTTTCAGTAGCCAATTTTTAGAAAGCAATAGAGTACTTAGAACATATATAATTTTCTTTTTCTCTGTTTGGAATTAGATCAGCTTGTGAAAAGAAAAATTAGGATCTGCAAATGACATGTGTGCGAATAAGTGAGCTTTTCTACATTGAGGATAAGAATTGTTTCCTTACTTTCTGTTTTGAGGGGAAAGCTTTGTACTCTTTTCCTGGATAAATGTCCTCTTTTCTGTTAGTCTTTTTTTGGCATATATGATTTAATTCAGAATCTTGAATAGCTTAGAAGTTTTAGTTGTCTGAAAGAGATAAACATATTTTGTGATAAACAGTAAATCTCACACACACACACACACACTGTAATTTATTTTGTGATAAGAATGCGCACTAGCCTTCAAGTTCCATTTTTTTTATATAATCTCCTTTTCTAGCTGAAAATAAATCATTTAATTGTCATTCTGTTCTTTATAATATTCTCTCCATTGCAGTATATATTTTAGCCTGTTTGAATCTGGTTGATCAATTTTCACCTGTCAGTTTCACTTATAGAAAAAAATAATAGACTTCTGCACTATATATTTGTCAAGAATGAAATATTTTGGGTATCTGTAGAATTAAATTAATTGCGACAATGAGACTCCAAAAAAATATCTACTGCCTTCAACAGTAACTCGATATATATACCAAAGCATCAATGACTTTCATGATATATTGCAAAATTTGGAAAGGTGTTTCCATTTAATTGAATAGATATCTATGAGTTTATACACTCCGCTAAAGCACTAACTTCAGTGCTCATGCCTCTCCTCATATATTTTTTTTCTGGCTATGGAATTATTATGCAGGATTGTTGATTACTGCATAAAGAAGAGGCTCCAATGGAATAGATGTTTTGCTCGCAAAGTTTGTTATGAAAGTGAATATTATGAAGAAATGCTGCGTTACTTACAAAAGAATCTGGCAGTATGTTCTTCACCGAAATTCCAGTTGATCTATCCTATTGAAGTCATATATCAAATGAACATTGCATTGATACAATGCCTTATCTATATACTTTGCTGCACTTCTTTTAGTAGAGATATCTGGCCTCTGTTTTTGCTGATCATGATGTTGATATTCTTAATTTCATGTATTATTAATTAGAACTAATGATATTGTATTTCACTATAGAGCTTAGATTTACTTTCCATTTTGTTTATTTAGTTCAGTCTTATTACCCTTCAGTCTTATTTCACTATAGAGCTTAGATTTACTTTCCATATGTAGTGCAGCATTTCATGGCCCCTTCAATTTCTTTTTCTCTTGTTTTAGGAAATCTTTTTAATGTTATATTTTTCCCTTGCAGATATTTCCTTATCATTTGGCCGAGTATGTCTGCCGTGTAATGAGGGTATCGCCTTTCCAATACTATTGTGATATGATTTTTGAAGTAATGAGAAATGGTAACTTGTTACTTGCTTGTGACAATTCTCAAATGATTTAATTCTGCTTGAAGATTCTGCTCAAATGTTGCTTTTTATAACTCAAAATTGAGGCTTTTCTCCAGGTTATAAATTTGGTGTCTTTTTATTCATCAGTTTCTTTGTGCTCTTGACAGTTTCTGGATTATCCAAGGAATGGTGTTTGTGTCAAACATCTCAACTAGACATGCATCTGTTCTATAAACTTTCTGTGAAGCTTATTAAATTGTTTTATGATAGATGCCTAAGTGAGAGAACCATGCTCCAAAAGTTAGCTGATGAGGTGGGAAAACCAACCAACTTAAAAGCTCCACTGAGCATCTCATAGGACTCAATGTGGGATTTAGCATCCCATAATACCAAGTCTCAATCATTTTCTATTGCAAATAACTTTTGCTACATATCCTCTGTAACGTTTAAATATGAAAAAATGTTTTGAAACGATAGAATTTTATATGATACATTATGTCTAGCTAACTAGATTACTGGCATACAGTAGACTTATTTTCTTCTGTGACAGTTGATGCTCCCTAGAGTAAGTGAAAGGAGTACACTTTTGCTACCAGATAAAGTGTTACCAATAGCGAATGCATTTAGTGAAGATGGTAAGAGAAGTCATAATAGTGTACACTAGGGTATGAAGAGGCGATTAGATATCTCAAAATTAGTATGTAACTTTTTTCTTTTTAACCTGATGTAGCCTGTAGGTCAAACAGCCTATATGCCAAATAATGATATCTGATTAAAATGACTAAGATGATGTGTGCAAAATGTTTTGTTTTGTTTTTTTTTTTTTTTTTTTTTTGAAATTTCTGTGGTTGTAACGCCTTACCAAATGTTGAGAGGTTAGTATGCATGGAAGCTGGACTCTATAAATATCATTCATGTTTCCATTGTTTGCAGAACAACCATATGACAGCATCCCGAATTTTAGTGCTGCAGATGCCTTAAGACTTACAGGAATTGGGAGGAATGAATTTATGGATATAATGAACAAGTGTCGATCTAAGGTACTGCATGTATTTATTTGTAGATAAATAGTATTCACATATATGGCATTCACACTCATAGTTGGTTTGCTTTGCATTTGCATGTCAGCGTGTGCCTAACTACCTGCATCAGCATTTTTTTTTTTAACTTCCAAATTTCTATCATTCTTGTCTCACTCGTCATTTTTACTTTTGGAATATCCAGAAAATCATGTGGAAACTGAATAAGTCAATTGCGAGAGATTCCTTACCTCTAGAACCTGTAGATTTTGCAATCGAACCGTGGTGGGGAATTTGTCTTGTGAACTTTTCCTTGGAAGAATTTAAGGTGAGGTCTGCCTTTGATCCTGATGAAAAGAAGCACTCGCTCCAATAAAATCGTGTTATGTTAATTTGGCAATAAGAAATTTTTTGTGTTCACTCATCAGGTATACTTTTTCCCTCACATTTTCTTCCACTTTTTGTAGAAACTCTCAGGAGAGGAAATGGCCACTGTAGACAAAGTCTCTAAGGAGGAAGGTAATTCATTTGTCCAGTTTGATCCTGACATAGTAAAAGCTCTTTATAGACGGGGACTGATCTATTTTGATGTTCCTGTAAGTCCTGATGACCGGTTTAAAGGTGAGTTCTCTCAGTGTCTAAGTTTTGGTGCTTTGTTAATATATTTTCTTCATGTAAAATTTGTACAGGCGTATGTTTTAGGATTCTTATTTAAAAGTAAAATGTTCATGAGACATGCAACAAAGCAAAAGATTCCTGATGTATTATGATTCAAATTGACCAACCAAAATGACCATACCGGTTCCTATAAAGTTGCTACTGGTTGTTTTTGTTTATGGCAGCACAACGCAAGGAAAAAAAATAGAAAGCCGAATCTATGCCACTTTAAAAATCACATCTTCATGATTACAAACTCAAAACATATTTTTGTATCACTTCATGTACGAAAGAAATCTAATATATACATCATATCTGCCTAACTGTTACAAATATTGTAACCTTTGCAACTAGCAACCCATCAAAATCCTCTGCCGCAGCAGGGTTAGACAGTGTCGTAGTAGAAATCTCTTGACTTAGCGTCAACACACAGTCATGAGTTATGGTGACAAAGATCTCAATCAAATCCCAAAAAGCTCTGAAATCTGACAATGCTTGCTCCAACAGCAATTGTATCACACCTGCAAAGAAAATCAGATATTGGTAGACAAAGCTGAGACAGAGTTAATCAGATCTAGGTCAATGTTTCAAGGAGTAAGAAAGCATTGATGTATAAGAGAGTGAAGGAAATAGAGAAACAGGAGAAAGTGAGGACTGAATTTTGAGGGTTCAGTTTTAAGCAAACTTTTTAATAAATTTCATTGTTGAGTAATTTTTATTATAGTAATTGTTCACTTTTCATGTTAAGTGCTTCCTGCTATTGTCTTTGTTATGATTGCTTTAGTATCCTCTCATTGCCTTATTGTTATGGAAATATGACTAATGAGTTTATGGTAAGCATACCAGAAGATTTGGAAAATAAAAAGTAAAAAAAATTGATTTATGGTGAGGACTGAATTTTGAGGGTTGAGTTTTGTTATGATTGCAAAGTATTATTTTATTTCAATTTTGTTTACATTTAAAAGCTTGCAAATTACCTAAATTTGTTAAATGATTAAAATATGATTTAGCATGCATGGTTTTATTGGCAATTTGCTCTGGAGTATGAAATATATATATATTTATATATAAAACATTGAAGGATAAAAAACAGTAAAGTAATCAAGCATATGATATGTGCAACATGTTTTTTGATGACGCTTTCTACACATTTTGAGCTGCCTGAGGTTGGGAAGAGACGTCATAACATTTATATTTATGGTGATTCAGTCTCCAGGCTTGAAGGTTTTGTTTCCAACCGAGAGCAGTCTTATGAAGATCCTATTGAAGAGTAAAGCCGCAGTTTGAATTTTTATTCACATCCTTTTTGTTTAATGCTTCCTTAAGATAACCTTAACGTGAGTTCTTTATTTTCTAGGTTATTGTATGCAGTTTTTGTTGTTTCAAGTGAAAATGTAACAGTTGCTGAACTGGCAACAACACTACAGGCTGATTTGTTGCAACTACAGGCTGCTGCATCATTTGTATGTCGATTAGGCTGGGCAACCAAAGTACTTGATCCGGCATCTATTCTTCAAGACATAAGTATAACTGGTTCTCCTAGAAGTTCTATTGATGGCGAAGATGCTTCTCGTATTGGTTTGATTGCTGAGAGTATGCTCATTGGCAATGATTCCAATCAACAGGAGGATGCTTCTTGGACAGGGAACTATGGTCATAGTTCTGCTTCTGCAGTTACTCGTGTTGCTCTAATTGTTGATGCTAATATAACATCCTATCTTATGATGGGTTCTGTTTCGCCAGGTTCTGGCCATGTGCCTTTTTTAGCCTCAAATTTCATTTTGTTAATCAATCAATTTTGTTGGACTCTAAACATAGTTTGGGTGTATTTTATCTCAATACTCTCGTGCGATAGTGCAATCATGGTTTTTTTAAGTTTCCAACACCTTTTTGGTTGCTTTTTTTGTGCAGAAATATTTGAGTTTATGATAGTACTGAGATCTTTCTCCTATCAAATTTTTCTGTTGACCAATGACAATTTGATCGCAGTCTGATTATGAGATTGTTAAATTCAAGAATTGATTTCCAAAGTTTTTACAAGTTTGCCAGTCTTAGACCCAAAACGTTGACAGATATCGGAACAACTTAAAGAATGCCTTTTGTTTTGTTTATTTTAAATAACATGCTTTTTGTTTGGTAGCAAAATTTTCATGATTTCTGTAAAACGTTAAAAGAAAAAAGAAAAAGGTCATAGTAACCTACCACTCTTTGGATGAGAATGAATGATACATTTGGAGTGAGGCATAATCTGATTTAGCAGACTCCAGGTGAAAAATCCACTTCAAAAACTTGCTGGACAATAGTTGCACCATAATTGTATTTATCCATTTCTAGTTTCTTTTGTTAAATTTTCCCTAATCTTAGATATTTACTGCATTTGAGGCAAATCTTGATCTCTTCTGCACTACTCTGGTTTTCACATTCCAATATCATGCGAATAATTGAGCTAGTTGCCCATTATGCTTTGCTCATTCGCCCAGTTATCTCATAAATCTGCAAAATCGGAGAATATCAAACCATAACAAGACTTCCAGGTTCATGGGCAATATATATTCTTTTTATTATTCTGGAAAATTCATAAGTATTCTGCTTATTAAATCAAAGCAGTATTAGCTTGCTTTTTGGGTGCTGTTTTCAAAGGTTCATGCCTGTTATTCTTCAGTCTTTTCATGTACAAGAGAATTCACTGCATGTCTGTCTATCTAGAGTCTCTAATCAAATTAACATGTCTGTCCTCTTGGTGGATTTTGTTAGGTTTGAAATCTCATGCTGTTACACTATATGAAGCGGGGAAACTAGGTCATGCCAGCATTTCTGATCTTTGCAAGGATCTTAGTACCTTGGAGGGTGCAAAATTTGAGGGAGTACTACAGGAATTTGCAAATCATGCATTCAGCCTGCGCTGTGTATTAGAATGCCTGCTATCAAGTGGAATTGCTAATGCTACTAATGCTAAAGTGGAGGAAGGTTTTTATAAGATGGGTATTATTACATCAAGCAATGATGATCCAAGTTATCGGAGAACTGAAATCCCTTTGACTGGCACAGCGGGTGACTCTGGCATTTCAGAAAGTGGGAAGAATAATGATAATTTATTAAACTTACATTCAGAAAAGTATGAGGAGGCTTCTGTTACCTCAGATCTTGTTCCAGGTTACACGGGTGATGTATCTCATCCTATTATCTTGCAAGGTGACCGTGGGCAGACACCAGAATTCTGTAAATCAGAGACAAATCTCCTGAATGATGAGAAATTGATAGCAGTTGAAGGTTCAGATGTTGAATCAGAAATGTTAAGCAATAAAAAGAAATATCGTGTAGATATTCTTCGCTCTGAAAGCTTGGCTGCTCTTCCACCAGCAGCTCTTGAGCGTTTGTTTCTTCGAGATTATGATTTAGTTGTGTCCATAGTGCCTCTTCCTCAATCATCGGTTCTTCCTGGACCTTCAGGTCCAGCTCATTTTGGTCCCCCCTCATATTGTTCGATGACACCTTGGATGAAACTTATTCTATATTCGACTGTGGCTAGTGGGCCTCTGTCAGTTGTTCTGATGAAAGGCCAGTGCCTGCGTTTACTTCCTGCTCCATTGGCTGGTTGTGAGAAAGCTCTGATATGGTCTTGGGATGGTTCCACTGTAGGAGGCTTGGGAGGGAAGCTTGAAGGAAATCTTGTTAAAGGAAATACTCTCTTGCATTGTCTAAATTCACTTCTTAAACATTCGGCTGTTCTGGTGCAGCCTCTCAGTAGGTATGATCTTGACAAATCTGGCAAAGTGATTACGGTAGATATTCCTTTGCCTCTAAAGAACTCTGATGGTTCAATTGCCCCTGTAGGAAAAGAGTTACGACTGCGCAAAGAGGAAATATTGAAGTTGAATTCTCTCTTGACAGACTTGGCAAACAGAATGGAACTATGGACAGTTGGTTTTATTCGCCTATTAAAATTGTTTAAGGGAAGAGAATCAGACCAGTGTTCATGCGATGAAGATAAATTTGAATGGGTTCCTTTGAGTGTTGAATTTGGGATGCCACTTTTCAGTCCGAAGCTTTGCAGTAGTATATGTAAAAGGGTGGTTTCGTCAGGTTTGCTTCAAACTGGCTCATTTGGGGAACACCATGATTCAATGCAAAGCATAAGGAAAAGGCTGCATGACATCTGTGCAGAGTACCAACCAACAGGGCCTGCTGCAAATATTCTTTACCAGAAAAGGCACGTTGTGGATGCTTCTCCGCAGCTTATGAACTATGCTAGTGGTAGATTGAACCCGTCTGTGGACCCTCTTCCAATTTCAGGGGCATTGAGTGGGCATCAGGGATTAAAGCTTGCTAATCAACAACGCTGCCTAACTGAAGTATTAAGCTTTGATGGCCGCATTCCAAGGTTGGTCAGAACTTCTATTGACTCATTGCTAGAACATGGATGGATGAAATTTCTCATCAGATAAAGGAATGATCTCAATTAGTGTCATCTTGACAACAGAAAATCACTTACTTTCACCAAAATAATCAAATGGATTCTTCTGTAATATAAATATTGGTCAAATATTTTGGTAACTTGTGCTACAAATACACTGAAGAAAGAGATCGTACTTTCTGCTAATTTGCTTTTAGACCCCGGTTGAAACAAGTTGTTCCGTCAAACCTGGCGAACATTTGCTCAATGTGTCGCAATTGGTGGTTCCAGACTTCATCTTGCCCTTGATTTTCGTTTGTATTTCTTGGAATCCTTTTAAAGATTTGTGCAATGATAATGCACATTATATAGCCACTAACTTTCTTTTGTCTGCTTGCTTGAGCCACTCAGATAAAGATTTATTAGCCATCTTAGATGTAGATGATTAAACCTTCATTATCAACCATAAAATTCTACTGAAAAATAACTTTTGACCCCTGTAGAATATCCTGTGGCTGCAACCAATCAGGTTAACAGGACTAGCTTCTTATTTTGCCACTGAACTGTTTCTTCGTTGGTAACGATGGAAATTTATTGGTTTGTCTCAAGGCTTTCTTATGAATTTTAGTGTCTATCTGTTAGCGATAGGGACCAAGGTAGTATGAAATGTCTAACTTCCATATCGTTCAGTAGCTTAGATTGCTCAAGAGATTACTTAAGTACTACAATAATGAGCTTTTAGGGGAGGATTCTTCCCTCTACTTGAGTACACATCATTTGTTATCAAAGTTAGTGGCTGAAAACTCTACAAAGGGCTGCCTGCGGATGGTTTTCGCTTGCAGAAGGCCAGGTGAGGTGTCATAGAGCATAGTTTCAAAACTGTCAACTTCCCAATACTGGCCTATTGATAGATGTCGCACAGAAGCTGATATCCTTTTCTTTTTGAATAGGTTGCACAGCAAGTGATTTAGTTATAGTAGTAAACTTATACAGCAATAAAAGGAAATTAAAGAGTTATGGTTTAGTACTCTTTATTTCTAGCTTTATCTGCTAATCATCTCAAGTCTCAAACTGGTTACTATTGAATGGTTAATGCAGATCAAACGCCTTTACTCCTGTTTATGAGGCTGCCACAAGACCCGTGGAAGAAATTCCTCAAGCTGATATGTTGGAAACTGAATCAGACCCAGATGAAAATGACAGCAAAGAAGTGCTCCTTCCGGGTGTCAACCTCATTTTTAATGGTTCTGAGTTGCATCCATTTGATGTAGGTTCTTGCCTCCAGGCTCGCCAACCAGTTTCATTAATAGCAGAGGCAGCTGCCGCCTGTGCATCAATGGCCGTGGTCAAAAAGATCTGCTAATATATATTAATCCAACCCAATACCTATAAATTGCAACCTGAGCAACTTACTGGACTATGCTTTTTCTATCATATGCTTTGTGTCTTTGAATTTTTGAAGTTGGGCCAATGCCTCATGTGACATAGTGACATGAAAGCTTCTCTACAAGTGGGAGAACGCAAGTTCAACCCCACTATTTATCTGAAGCTATTTGTTTGCCTTGTAATATTTAAAAAGAAGAAGAAGAAGAAGAATCTTTCAAGGTTGTCATTGTGCTCCTACTTTTTTTTTTTTTGGGGGGGGGTGTTAGGTTGCAAATGACGTTCAGTCTTAAAATTGCTGTGTATTTATTACCTACTTATTTGACTTCCTAAATGCCAATAATTGTGATTTCCGGTGTTCAACAACTGGTTATTTCCTTGCATTACTGAAGACCTTCAAGTTTACTGGCACTAGTTTTTATTTTTAAAGAAAAAAAGATGGAGGACAAGATGCTGAGATTTAGCAACAGATTCGCTTGTAAATTATTTTCTCGTTCCTTGGATGTCAAGTTTAGTTTATTATTTCATGCTAGTGATCTCTCTCTTTACATTGGACAAGTCTTTCCTGTTGCTCAATGCAGGCTGCATTTGTTCCGTTTTTTGCTATAGCCGGGAATTCCCATTTTGTCAGAGCTGTTAAAAAGAGGAAATGTAATCGTTGTTAAACCATCCAATCTGATGAACGGAATGATGCTGAAAGTGGTCATCAGAGGAAAATGCGATCATTGGCGAATCCTTATATACCATTCCGTCTAACACAAGTTTAACTCGTTCTCTTGCTTTCACTCCACCTTCATTGATCATCAATCTGTAATTTATTGACACTTCCTACTTCCTTATAGCAAATATTAGTCATAGATGCGGTGCTTTTAATTTTAGGCAAAATAAGCTTTAATTAAAACAAGCTAAGCTTTTTTCTTTTAAATAAATTAGAAAGTATTAATAGCTATTAAGGGGGTGTTTGGGTCATGCTAAAAGTGTTTTTCAAAAACACTTTTTCGCAAATTAAGACAAACAACTATACATATTTATATCGTAAAAACATTTTTAAAATCATAGTTTTGTTTCTACCTAAACACCCTTTAAATGACTTTGTGTAGCTTTGCATGTTAATAGGCCCAATAACAGGGTTGGCAAGGAACCCGACCTTTTGACCATGACATGTGGTCTCTTGTGGGGACTTGCTATAAGGACACGTTTGTCAGTTACAGGCACATATAACCTCGGACGTGGCGGTGCATATGAAAGGAATAGAACAGTGAGAGGGCATAATATGGTAAGCTTTCTGTTCGTCAACAAAATCTGAGGCCATGGAAAACGATTCCGATGCTGTGAGCCGTGCGTCTCTTATAATCTCCTTCTGCCATATGACTTCTGCTTCCCATGACGATGCCCTCTTCTTCTTGGAGAGCCACAACTTCGACTTGGACGCCGCCCTTTCCTCCTTCTTCAAGAACAGCTCCTCGCAGCCAAATTTTCAGTCTCCGACTCAGCATGCGGATCACAGGAATCCTTCGGGAACCCTCACCGCTGGAACTAGCTCGCTTTCTAATCTGAAACGGCCACCTACTGATACGGCCGCTTATGATCCTGGCGATGATTCCAGGTGGTATTGAATTTTCGGCACAACCTGTAATTTTCTTATTTCCTATGATTGGTTTTGGATTTTAGTTGGAGCCTTTATTCTTCCAACTTTGGGTCCCATTGATGAAATTTAGATTCTTTGTTGAAAGGTTCTATCTAGGCTGCATCATTCTAGTTTTCACCGACCAAAGTTAGCTTCATTTATCTCTTCTGTGGGCTCGTCTTTGGAAAACGAGATTACGAAATGCTTCTTCCCTTCGATTCTCGTATTGACATAGTTCATTTTCAGATTTAATTAATTGTCCTTACTTGTTGAGTTACAGAAACTGAATTACTGGAACAGTAAGATCATACAGAGCAACTGTGTCATCCAACCTATCAAGGGCCACAAACTTTCTGGACGATCCACAAAATTTAGAGTGATGTTGAACTCTCAAATATCATGGATCTTTTGTAGCAAATTTTTGTTTCTCATTTGGTCCTTTGTTACAATACCTTTTTATGGTTGTTACTTGTTAATACACATTTTGTGATCCGTATATCCTTTGTATTTATAAAAATCCAATGGAAGTTGTAATGTTACCAACTTGAACCACTTTTTAAGAGTGACTTGGTTCAAGTAATCATATTTATTTTAGCACGTTAACTGCCTACAAAGGACGACTTCAGCAGGAGGCAACATGTTAATATGAGACCTTATAAATTTTGCTGCCTTATGAGGATTGTTTCCCCTTTATCTGCATATGATCTTCATGATATCTTTATCATATCATATTTAAACTCATACAGAGCAGATATGAAAAAAAGGCACATTAGTTTCCATGGTTGGTTATTGTCACCAGGGTTTTAAAATTCACCTAGTCTTGTAAGACTTTTTGTATTAACATATGAAAATGCTTTTTATTTTAACTATATTTTGTAAATTGAAGTTAGAGTAAAAATTAATTAGTGCAATGATCTTGGAATATGCTTTTGTAAAAAAAAAAATCAGTTGAATATGTATTTGGCTTTTAGAACTCGAGCTCCAAAATATGACATGATTGTTGGGGGGAAAAAATCATGAATACAAAGGTGATGATTCATTAATAAGACATGAACAAGTAAAATGAAATATCTTTTGAAAAATTCTCATACAACGTGAAGAAATATTCATCAACAAAAAGTTGATGAATAAGCTAACTTTACTCTCAAAAGATTCATTTGACTCTAATATCAATCTAAACGTAATTTTTGGACTTAAATTTGTTTTTAACTTTTGAACTTCCTTTAGTAAAACTTTCGGGTTTAAGTCTCTTATTTAGAGATATTATAGAGGAGGCAAGGTTTCTTATTTTGAAGGATTGGCAAATGGTTTTCAGCCATATTTTCAAAGAAAACAACACTCAAGTTGATCATTTGGCCAAAATGTCTCATAGTTTAATAAAAAGTTTTTGTATCCTTGACCAACAATCACCTTTTAATTAAGAGATGGTCGTTGATGAAAGAGAATAGATATTAGCTTTTCTTCTTGTGTCCTTTTTTAGTTGTTGAAGTTGTATTCAATTTCTACTAAAAAAGTCCAATTCAAAGAAGCTATCAACTTCAAAATTGTTGTCTTGCCTTTTTGTACTTAGTTAACGCCACTCAAATTGACTCTTCATTCTTACCTTTTGGTCTTAGTGGAAAGCTGGAACCAGTTTCGGTGCTTATCATTTTGATGAGCATCATAAACTCATCGGATCTAGACCGTCTATATCTAATTTAAACGGTTTAGATTTAAAATCTTAAATTAATTATTTTTAAATAGAAAAAATTATTTTTTTGAAAGAATGACAGTCAAGAGATTATCTTTATTTTAGATTTTATACCTAGTAAAATAATTATTTTAAATAAATAAAAATAACAAGTAAATCAAATTTGGACTATCCAAATGAAATATAAACAATCCAGATCTGATGAGTTTATGGTTTTCATCAAAATAATGAACACCGAAACTGGTTCAGTAAGAAGGTGACCACCCTGTTGGGTAGCACCAACATGCATTACATAATAAACTAATTGATTCGGAACACACATGTTGCAATAAATATGTCAAAATGCATTCGACTTGCTTTCTTTATACAGCCTTCTCCTTCAACTCCTTTTTTTTCATTTATTTTAATTTTCAATTCCATCAGTACTTTTTTAATATAACCTTCTAAAAAAATTCGATGGAACATATGAAAAATAGAACTTTTCTTTTACATCATTGGGAATATACCAAATTAAAGAAAATATTGTTTTTGAACGATTAAATTGAGAAAATAATTTTGTCATTCATGAGGATTAGAGAAAAAGCTTAAGCCAAGTTTTTTATACCCATTATGTCAAATTATCCAACCACATATGATCATATATCCTTTTTTTGTTTCATGTAGATTTATAATTAAATGATATTGAATGCTAATATTTTAAAAATAGGATGCAGAGCATGATAAATTCGAAGAACTTGATGTACATATTGTCCGATCAAACTATAATTAAAAAAAAAATTTATTGTCACATGAGGGCATGAGGCTGTAGTAATAATATAAATACATTACATGTTGAATCGGTAGTTGAAGCAAGCGGAAGAGACATCAGAGAAGCTTGATTTAGATGATGGCGTTGTAGTAATTGGGGGAGACGATTCAAACACTAATGCTTGCCTGCTTGTAGAAATATTCGGAACGAGTTTCAGTGCGAAGCGGCTTGATAAGCACAAGGAGCTCATCACCGCTACGCACCGTTTCATTAAAGTTCGAATTGATTTGACCGTTGGATGATGAGCGATCTAAAATGCTGAAGGTGTGGGCGATTTCAATCCTCGCTCTTCGTTCCCCCTTCTTCTTCGGCATCATCTTCATGCACAGGTAAACACCTAATCAATAATCTCAGCAAGATGCTTCAGGAGGTGCCTATAAAGAGGAGGTTTTGAAGGATCTTGCTTGATAGTTGGGGTGTAAAGTGCTGTGACTTTGACTTCTCTGACTTGAAAAATTCATTGCCTTGATCTTTCAGAGACATTTGTTTTTTTTTAATTTAGCTTCTGCTTCTGCTGAGACAGTCACCATTGGTATTTTTCCTTTTTTTTTTAATGAAAAGGCAAAATGCATTAATTAAATAGAGATACAGATTTGAAGGTTCACTACACTAGAAAAAAACAGGACTAACCGAAGCAGCTACTTTAAAATGATCAAAAGTAAAAGTCTAAGAGCTGCAGAAAGTCCGAGACGATAACATCCCGTGATTGTGCTTTGTGGCAGATTGAGACTTGCTTTTTGATTGAGAAAATATCCTCTCTTTTTTTTTTTAATGGCTGCCTCCTGAAAAGGAGAGTTGGTATCCAAACCAAAGCTGCCCTTAAACAACAGCGGAGGAGGTTTCTGTTGAAACATTCTAGTTTTCCCCAGGGGACCTTGATCGAAGACTGGCCCTGGTATTTTTCTTCGAAGAGGAAGAGAAGTGACAATTTGGAACTTGCATATTATTAAAATAGAAAAAAATAGAACTTGCCTTGAATGGAGGGAACTTCGTTGACTTTATCTCAGAGAACGACGTCGCATGGCAATTAAATAGAGGGAACTCGTCCTTGACTTTGTTAAAACAGTGCGCATAAATGATGAGCTCTCAGTGCTCTTCA